GGTTATATTTAAGTGACCTAAACGCTGATGCCACCTCATAGTGTTATCATCTGCACGGTTCACACACATTACGCGACGTTTATTCTAATTTACTTTATATAATTTTCCATACTTTGTTGCTGCCAATACAAGTGAACCGTCCGCGCGTTTCACTAGCGCATTATTTCGATCGAAGTTTACTTAATAGCCTTTGTTTGTTATAGCGGAAACAGACAATAAATTGTTTCTCAATTTCGGCACGTAAATAACGTCTCTCACATTAATTGTTGCGGATCTATTTTTACTTACACAAACATTTAATTCTACTGTTCCTTTACCACGTGCTTCTACAGAATAGTCTACAGCCATATAAACGTTTGTTGGCTTCATTTGCTTAACATGGAAAATTGGTTTTCCGAATTGCACATATGTTCCATCGCACCTCTATCCAAATACCAATCACTTGATATTTCGAGTTCTGTATTGCAAGCGATTGCTATCAGTGCCGAACGGGAATTATTATGATTTATTTTAGAACGGCAATCACGACTTACATGGCCCGGTTTGCCACACTTAAAACAGTTTTTGTTGTACTTTTTGTTGAACCTTTGATTATTTTGTATACTATTTCTTTGCTTAGTATACGTACGTGATTGATTATATTTCAATTTATTGTTCTTCGTAACGAGAGCTTCTGATATTTCGTCATTTTGGCGTGATTTAACCATTCTATCGTTCTGCCTTCCTCTTCTTTTAACTTCGTTTTTAGATATTCGAACGAGGGTATTTCATCACGTGATTCGATCGCTACTGTAAAACTTTCATGTTCGGGTGGTAAAGAAGCTAGCATCATTATCGATAACAAGTTATCCGCCAGCTCTATGCTTGCCGCTTGAATTTGTTCGGCTTTGTGCTCGTATTCGTTGGCGTATTGCGTAATGCTTGTATTCGTTTTCTTCTGTATACGAACCAACTCCTTGATTAGTGTCGTTCTTCTCATGGGACCTTTTGACTCAAACGCATTTTCTAATT